TAAAAAAAAACCCACCACAACCAATAACAATAACAACAATTAATTAATAAAACAACCACCAACAACAACAACAAAACCAACAATAATAACAAAACCACTACAACAAATTACAACAACAACAACAACAACAACAACAACAACAACAACAACAACGAGACGAAGACAAAGGCAAACTCAAAATACCACCGTGAATAAATTATCCTCTGCCAGACGCTCACAAGCACGAGAGACCAACACAACAGCTGCATGGTCCCCCAACCCACATGGCGCCCTCAGACTCAGCCCTTGCTTACAGTCATGAAATCTATCCGACACTTATCTCCATATATTACACAATTGTTAGCGATTAAATCTCGTCGGTCCTTAAAGGGTGTTCTCACTAGGTCCTGTCGAAAAATTGTGGACCCTCATATCCCCCGCGTCGCTTGTCATCCAAATACTCATTTTTCCAGCATTAAAAAATTGTTAGATACTCCCTTCTTTTGTACTTATTAGACCTTTACTTTTCAGAAATTAAGCCTGAATTTTAGCCATTTTAAAGTTAATTTCCATTCCATTACTGAATTTATTTCAAATCAAAGACGGTAAACATGTTTCTTATTTAACGTGTCACCTATCTAAATCCGTATCGATCGCTTGGTGTAAGACTCCATAAGGCCATTTTGAAAAGTGACGTATGAGGGAGTCTAACGCTGAGCATTCAATGTTCAGCTACAATTCCGTCGATATCGAATAACGTACCACCACAACATCCGACTTCGACGCAGCTGACTCGTGTGAACAGCTCATTACCCTGAACGCATATATGCTCCCCCATAGCTGTCATGGTCTATTCAGACGTTTCTTTTTTATCTCCAGCCAGCTCACAATATCACAAACGTGCCTGAATAAAGGTACAATGGATTATATATTTTAAGAGGTATGTCTTTTTTTGCATTCTCGAGATACTTAGCTCGATGGTAAAATCATATATAGGCCTATCAGCGCACGAATCTGATAATAGGGACAGTGACGACAGATGGCATTTCATCAGAACTTTGAATTTCATCATGAATCTCAGAGCTCCCCGACGTAAAGTGAAATCACGAATGCCCAACGATTGACACGTGGCTGAAGGAAGAGAGAGAGAGAGGGAGAGAGAGAGAGAGAGAGAGAGAGAGAGAGAGAGAGAGAGAGGAGAGAGAGAGAGCATAATGTACCAAGAGTACTATGGAGAGACAAGGGAGAATTCAAGATGAATGAGTGAGAGAAAAAGAGTAGAGCAGGGAGCGTCAGGGCGAAAGTAGGGTGGAGAGGGGAGAACAAAGAGGGTGACAGAGAGGGAAAAAAGAGAGAAAGAGAAGGAGAGATAAAAAAGAACCTGAAGAGAAGAAATAAAGGAAAAAATGGTGGGAACGACGGTTATAAATAACATAAAAAACAAGATCATAGACAGAAGACAGACAGACAGACGAATCAGATCCCATATCAAATTAGACACAAACCTAGGCTTTCTAAGATCACCAACTTAAACCCATAACTTCGTTGGAAGTACAAGGTCCATAATAAATGTTAGAAGAAAAGAAGAGAAAAAGGGAGAGAGACGCAAAAAAAGTGAACGCCAAACAATAGTATTATTGTCATGTGGCAGAGACCAGATCATGCGTTAGTATCCGCTACAAATTGTTTCACCTTCCTTTGGCGGGTAACTGGCATATTCATATAAATAATAAATAAATAAATATTATATTGAAAGAAAGAAAGAAAGATAGAAAGAAAGAAAAAGAATGAGAACAACAACAACAACAAAAAACAAAGGGGAAAATCCTTCATTTTACCCTCCCATATTTGTCTACTGGGTGTGTAATTAAAATGAAAACAAAACACACAAGTTACAACAACAACATCAAAAAAAAAGGAAAACCGAAAGGTAATAGGGGTACCTTAAAAATCGTGTACGACTCGTGAACCATTTTCACGACAACTGAGCGGTTTAATTATGCTTTAACGACTCAGCGAATCCGTACGTTCGATCAGCAGCAAGACCACACGCAATGCTGCGTCACATTTACAACTACCGTGCACAAATAATGAAAACGAGCATGCATATTTCATAGTATGCATGTTGTTGTCTGTCTTTTACGGTTTTAGAAAAAAAAAGAAACAAAAAAAAGGAACAAAACAGAATGAGTAAAACTAAAACAGCGTGTCTTCAAGCTAGCTCCGATGAATAAAAAGAATGTTCGTCCTCAGTAAGTTTTGGTTGTTGTTGTTGATGTTGATGCTTGTTTGTTTGTCTTAGTAAACGTTTTACGGCACTTAAATTGCAACACAATTACGTCATACACAGGCAAAAGTTAAAGGTGTTACAAGAGAGAAAATCAGACACAAAAAGGAGAGAACAATAAGGACGACAGATGTTAGACAAGAAAGAAGGAGCAAACCACACCAGAGCACCTGCAAATCACCCACTCTCTTAGGTTGCAAAAAAAACAACAAAA